TTAAAATATACTCTGATGAAATTTTATATATGTGATTAAGTGTTTATTTGCATTATTTTGGGGGTATAGAAGGGGGTGTTACAACTGATGTATTAGATGAATCTACAAAGATACGCCAAGTAGGAAGATAGTGTTCTCAAACAAGAGTTCCTGGAATTTCTCCAATTCCCTCACAATTGATCACATTAGCAATTGCTTTAGAGGTAACTGTTATATAAATCTCAGTTACCTTAGAAAGAATAGCACACTCAGAATTTAGCTCAATAATGAAAGCATTGATCCAAAACTCTTTTACAAGATCTGGATAAGTGAAACCACATAGCATCTCAAAGTATCTATTCCATCCTTGTTTATACACAGTTTTCCAGAACTTAAAGCCTAACTTAACCAACTCATCGAAATCCACAAATTTTTCATTGATGACTACCAGTTTATTTAAAGAAGAATTGACTAAGAAACTCATCTCAAGTTTGGATTGATCAACTCACAACCATAGAGAAAATAAAAAGAAAGGAACTGAACAAGATTCCTAAAAGAATAAGAATCTTGTTAGAAGAAGGACAAAATGATATTTCATAAGACGGGGAATAATGACAGTAAGTATCCAAGAAGAAAACACCATTACCCAAAAGTTATTATCCAACTGATTTCTTGAATCCACAAGATGAATTTCACCTTTATGAAATTTTAAGTATTATAAAAATCTTGGAAAACCTTTTAATTAAACTGTTTTATCAGAAGTAAAGAATCCTCTTCTGAATCTCAAAATCTGATAACTTTCAGAAGTTATCATCCATCAGAGTCTAGTAGAGTGAGAGAGAGAGAGGGGGGAGAGATCTTTTGTTAGTCATAAGTCTCCAAGATTCTATTCAGAGCCAACATTTCCTCTTGAAACAAGAGTCATGAGTGATAGATGAATATTGAATTGTTTTCTTTGACAACTAACAAACAACACTAACATCACATAAAGTGAGGAAACTATTTCCATAAATATGATCATCATCTGACTTAATGAAATATTAGAAATAGGTAAGCACAACAAAGTTTCTTCTTAAAGATGTCTGAAGATCTTTTTTCAGAAGAGCTTCTCTAGAAATCTAACAAAACCTTTGTGTTTACATCTACTCAAATATCTCATTGAATCAAAAGATAAGCCAAGCAAGAACAAGCATACCCTTTTTTTTTTTATTTTCTCGGTTATACTTGTATCAGTATTCTGACTTGACCATAGAGTCTGAACACCGCTTTGAGTGGATTCTGATTCAATGGTTGTTAAACCAATGACTCCACTAGTCTCTCCAAACTCAGTACCTCTAGAACTTAAGTATGGGTTGTGGGCTCTTCTTCCATAGAGTTTGTTCAAATGTTATAATACATTGATGGACTTCTGTTATAAGATTCTTTCCTAATACATTGTTAGACTTCCACCGAAAGATTCTTCATGCCCTACGGGGTAATACAATGTTGAACTTTCAGTGTTAGATCCTCGTCGTCCTACGGGATAATATATTATTGGTTTTCCACTCGAAGATCCTTGCTTCCCTAAAGGGTAATTACATCATTGAACCTTTATTGGGAAAAAAATGCCTCAATAGGTTACTTAGTTAACACCAAACGAGGAATCGTTTTCACCCTTGCATACGATATTGTCTAAAATCAGAATAACAGAAAAGCCACAATATCAAGAATTCCATAAACAAATTGCCAAAAGGCATGGGGATACTCATTAAATAGAAACCTCTAGGGGCGTGGTTACAAACCGGACTACAAAGGGTGAAGATACGAATAAACGTACAAAATACAAAGATAAGATTAAACTTGCCCCAAAAAAATCTTGAGGAACTTACCCTCTGAGGGACTCTATTTAAATTCGTGCCTGTAGGAATCAACTTAAAGTTTTGCATGACAGACTCAACTTAAAGTCTTGTCTAGAGATGAAGTATTTTTTGGTGAGAAACAAGTGTGAGTTGTGTTGAGAAACTAGTGTGAGATCTAAGTCCCACATTGCTTAGAAAAGTGGAGGTTGAGTATTTTATAAGTAAGAGAACCCATACACCTACCACCTTAAGGTTTTGGGTGAATATGTGATATCTCTCTCACTTGTTTGGGTGAGTCTTTGACCTTAAAGTGAGTGTTTGACCTAATGTTGATAACCAATCACTTTCTGCCATGATTAAATCACTTTGCCCTTTTCATCCAACATACTTGAGTGAAGAAGAAACCCTTCCTCATTAAGCGAATTAAAGGGAAAGGTGAAGGAAGTGGACTTGATTTCCTCTCCTATCCAACACCATCCAACATACTTGAGTGAAGAAGAAACCCTTCCTCATTAAGCGAATTAAAGGGAAAGGTGAAGGAAGTGGACTTGATTTCCTCTCCTATCCAACACCCCGAACCCTATAAATACTTCAACTTTAGAAATGAGAAGGACATTAACTAATTCCACGAAAAATAAGCAGAGTCTCTTGGAACGTTAAGTAAGCCCTATAAATACTTCAACTTTAGAAATGAGAAGGACATTAACTAATTCCACGAAAAATAAGCAGAGTCTCTTGGAACGTTAAGTAAGCCCTATAAATACTTCAACTTTAGAAATGAGAAGGACATTAACTAATTCCACGAAAAATAAGCAGAGTCTCTTGGAACGTTAAGTAAGCAAACTCTCACTTCGTTGTAATTTTTAACGAGTAGAATATATATTACAAACTAAATTTTTAACTAAAATTCTTTCTAAAATATTACTACAAAATTATTACTATTTATATGGTTATGATTCATTAAGAGTGTACAACTTTTACACTTGGGAAGTTTAAGGTAGTAATGCTTTGTTAACATTGCAGCATGCTATCACCGTAGCCGTTGTGCAAGAACTTCCAGACTTTTCCAAGGGCTTCATATTTGTAACTGATCATTCTTATATAACAGATTAAGATGCAGCAGCTAGTGTCAGCTTACATAACAGATTAGAAAACTAGTAAATACAAATTTCAAACTTGTAGAGAGCATAATAGCATATAAACATTACATTAATTTTAACTTTCTCATTGCGAAATGCCATTTCAGACATTAGCACAAAAACGATAGGATTATGCTCTATCCCTTCCATGCACATACCAACACCTACCTGCATAAAACATTAGTGAGACATGTTTAAAAATCAGAATTTAGTTGCAATAAATCAGGAAACGGAACAGCTAAAAAATTTCCAATCATACTTCTGAAAAAGTATTATGCCAACAAAATGAAGAATCGATATGCATTGCTCAAGTCTTTCAAGTTTCTAACATACAAGAACTTGTAAATTGTTGACGTAAAACAATAGTTGTACCATTGTCGAGTTTTCACTGACGCGAGCATCAACAGGCCCCGAACCAATTGCATCCAAAACACCGTGCATTTCAAGATTACCACCAAAATTATGTAGCATGCACCTGGAGCAAAGTAAGATCAAGAAAGCATGATTGTTGTTTAGAACATCATATATCTTCATTCTTCAAGTAACACGGGCTATCAAAAAGCAAATTACCATATATAAGGAGTACCATAAAACTGAAAGGAAGTTTTCCATATTGATTTTACTTCGGCAAATAGATCAAGAACGATCATTTTCCCAACTGGAACAGATTGTAAAAGTGCCTGCAAATAGTATCATACATAGTAAAACAAAATTATTCTGTAACTCCTGGTGCTAGCTAATAAACCAGAGAAGGGGAGGAGGAGGAGGAGGGATTTGAGAATTTTTTGAGTCCTTAATGGGGGAAAACATGCAACTCAATGTAGGATCGTGACACGGTAGCACAAAAAGTAAGATCTTACAAAAAAATATAAATGCAATAATAATAATATTTAAAAAAGATACATTTTTAACAAGAAAATCATTAGTAAATTTTAATTTCATTTTTCTGTATCCTCCTCACGTAGCATAAAATTCAGTCTGCACCCGACACTCCCTACCCAATCTACAGTCTGCACCTCATTGGCTAACTGAATCCCGTTGTCCTTATCATACAAGAACGCAAGGCAACACATACAAAGCTTCCCTGTTCTGCTGCTACGAAAAATAGAGAAGTATAACTCGATGTCTGGAACAAAGACAATAAATAGAGAATATGGAAAACAGAGGCATGTATAACTCGTAAGAGACTCCATCGTTGTGAATTAACTTGCAATTTAGATACCTTAGATCAAACTATCAAAAAAGATATACAACTAAATGCCTTATCTATAGGCATAGTTCATGACATAATATCATGGTGTCCTTTGATCCAAATAGTTTATCCAACCTAGTGGGAAAATGTTTTGTTGTATACTCATGTGACGACAAACTGAAACTAAGAAAAATAACACATACGAACACACAAATATTGAAGAAGACAGAAGATATCTTGTAACGTGAATTTCATACTTTCATTTGAGGGGGCTTCCAAAATGATGAATCAGAGTAGAAGAGCCAGCCCTGCAAGTTCATATATATTTGTCAGCTAAACATCATCCACTTATTAGGCCTCTCCTGAAAAGAAGACAAAAAAATTACTTTCCTTTTCAATATTGTTAGTGACAATTCAATTAATAAAATTGAAATTGCCCAACAGTTTCATAGAATCATTGAAGAAGTAAAATTGATAAGAGTTAAAGAAAATAAAGATCAAATAAGCATTTTCCTTTCATTTTCTCCAAAAACTCTATTGTCAAATTAATCATTATAGTATAAAATGTTTCGGTTAACAAAAACAAATAATTCTAGTTTTGTTCACAAACAAACACATTTCATGCTTCTGCGTAATTTTTACTGAAAAGTGTAGCTGGAAGATACAAGTTTTGTAACATGATTAAAAGCAGTATAGAAAAGTCTCAAACAACATTAACTCAGATGATTCTTGGAATAAAAGTTGCAGCAAAAAGTATACACTAAATCTCAGGCAGAGGAAACATAAGTGTTTGGATTGTGAACATAAATAAACAAGTATGAAAGAGAAAATCATACCTGAAGCAACTTGTCATCATATTGTGAGTTGGTCATTTATTTGTATGACAGGGATGTGAGCAATTTTGGACCAATTTTCCTTCCTTTTATACCTTTCTTCTAGCAGAGGGCAACGTTGGATGGTCAGCTGCTTAAGAGATGCAGGGAGGTTGTCTTCTGGTAATGACTCGAGTTTGTCACAATTTGTAAAATTAAGTGATTTCAGCGAGGAAGGAATCCAGTTTTCTGGTAATGACTTGAGATGTCGACAATCAATGAAGTGAAGATTTTTTTGGAGCGAGGAGAGGTGACGAAGCTCATTTCCTTCAGAGAACAAATTATCACCGACACCAATTTGCAATGTTGAAAGAGCGGTTGGGTCTCGGAGATCCCATTCCTTTAAATGCGGCTTTGTTCTTTTGCACTTAATAGATACTGTTTGTAATTTGGGAGGTAGACAAACTCCTTCCCGAAATGACAACTCTTCATAACAGCAAAGAGACAAACATTCAAGATTGGTAAGCGTGTTCAACTGAAGATTGACATTAAATGATTCAATTGAGGCGCTGCCTATAATCTGAAGGGTACGGAGGCTTGACTGCCGACGTGAAGGACTTTCTGAAATAAAAATGGATTGCATACTCTTACAACAGTAGAGGGAAAGTGATTGGAGAGCAGGGAAACCATCAACTGGAAATGATGCAAGTGCATCACAGCTATACCACATACAAAGATCTACTAGTGATGTGTAATTTTGAAATGTTTCGAAAGGCATGAAGGATAACTTGCTACACCCAGCAATATACAGAGCCTGCAGTGAAGTGGGTAGACCACATGTGGGAAATGCAGTGAGAGATTGAATATTGCAGAGCGTCAAGCGAGTAAGACAAATACTACTCATGATCGTTTTAGAAATAAACATTGCGTAACGTTCAGCAGCTGCATGTCGCAAGTCGGTCTCAAACATTTTTTGAGCATAAGCTTCATATTTTAAATCTTTAATGCTTACTGTTTGGATTGCCGATAGCCAACTCAAAGTATGGAGTGTTTCCAATAGCTTAAAACAATCTTTTATTTCAATTTCTTCCATGCGAGAAAGGTGGTCAGGCAAATCTCCCTTTAGTTCAGGACAATCACGTAACTCCATAGTTCTAAGTCGCGGAAATGCAAAAATTTTGCCTTCAAAAGAAATCCAATTCTTCAAATTTGGCATCTTGTGAAATATCAAATGCTCAAGGGAAGGAAATGGTTGGAAGGTAGGATTTGAACATGCTTTTTCCTCAACACAATAGAACTCTTGGCCAATTGTCTCCAATAACAACAAATTCGATATATTCAGCTTCTTGAGGGAAGGTAGTTGGCCTAGCGGTGGAAGTGTCACGCAGAATTCACAATTATGAATTTCAAGGGACACCATGTTAGAGAACGAAGAATTTCCCAACCAATTCGGAAAATTTGTCCCACAATATAAGTCAATTTTAAGGCTCTTCAGGTTTATGGCTGGTTGCAACATTTCAAGCACAACTTTTACTTTTACTGAGTCTTCAGTTATTTTCCCCCATAGCAACTCTAACTCCTCAATTTTCTCTTTGTTTTTCAGGTTGGCATCTTCTGCCTCTTTTGCATCAACGACATTGTATAGGTTTTTTATGGTAAATTTCCCTCGTAGGTTTGGGAATTTACTTAGCTCTTTGATACTTAACCCTTCATGTCGCCTACCCACTAAAAAAACAGTCAAAGTTTGGAGGTTTTCTAGTCCACCAATTTCCATAGGCAACTCTTTTATGCCAGTCCCACTTATATCAAGGTGACGTAAACTGATTAAATTCCCCATATGCACCGGCAATTCAATGAGACGCACGCAATCTAATAAAATCAAGGTCTGCAAATTGTAAAGGTTACATATTGTATCAGGCAAACTTTTGACTTTAGTGAAGGACAAATCTAGATACCGCAATTGCACCAAATTGCCAATTGAATCCGGTAGGTTGGTGATGTTTACATAGTTTGAAAGTGACAACATGCGCAACCTTTTGAATAATGGTAGCAGATCATCAACCACCTTGATGGATAAGTAATTACATGACCTCCGGGTAGTAATGGGTAGGAAGCTTCGCAAGCATTTAAAATTGTAGAAAGGCCTAAACTTTGTGAATATATCATACACGTCTTGAACATATGATAAATGACGAACCTTTTCAGAGATGTCACCACATTCAGACCGACAACAAATTTTTCCAGATACGGCTGTAGCTAAGTCGTTGATAAGATCATGCATGAAAAACGATTTTCCACGAGCACCATCATTTGATTGTTGAATTAAGGACCTAGACAAGAGTTCAGCAAACCAATCATCACCTACATCCTCTACCGATTTTCCCTTCTGAAAACAATCAAGGAAGCCCTCTGCCATCCACAACAAAACCAAATTCTTCCTATCAAGTGGATAATCCTTTGGAAAAATTGAACAATATACAAAACATCTTTTCAAATGAGACGGAAGATATTGGTAACTCAAATGTAAAGCAGGCATAATATTATCATTTGGTAAGTTCCACACATTGCTATTCAAAATATCAGTCCAGGCCGTTATGTCTACCCTTGAACGTAGAAGTCCTCCTAGCGTTTTAGCAGCTATTGGCAATCCGCCACACTTTTTTGCAATCTTCCTACTAATCTCTTCAAGGGCTGTGCCTTGATATTCATCACTTCCCAATGCATGTTTTAAGAGTATAGACCAACAATCTTCGTGTGACAGAGGGTCTAATTTATGAATAGGAAATGTCTTGGCCGTCTCTGCAACTTTTTGTTGGCGCGTTGTTATAATCACAGAACTTCCAGGTTTTCCATCAATGAGAGGACTTACTAGCTCATCCCAATCATTGTAACTGTCATTCCAAAAATCGTCTAGCACAAACAAAAATCTTTTCATCCTCGTCTTTTTATTTAATTCAACCCGAAGAATATCAAGATTATCGCTTTCCCATACCTTTGAAGACGCAGATGTTGTATTTCTAACAACAGATTCAAGGAGAGACTTGGTTACTCTCACAACATCGAAGTCCTCTGATACACAAACCCAGACTTTGAAATCAAAATGTTGTTCAATTTTTTCATCATTGTAAACAAGTTGTGCAAGGGTTGTTTTTCCAACACCTCCCATACCCAAAATTGCAACAACACCTAAGTTATTATTTTTGCTGGTGCCACTTTCTGATAGAAGCATCTTGATGATTGAATCTTTATCATCATTCCTACCGACCATGACAGATTCATTAACCCCGGAACTTGAAGGTGGTCTTCGAGAAACTCTAGCACTTTTTGTTTGCAATCCAAGGGTATTTTTATGTTGTGCAAAAGCTTCAAGAGTTTCACACATGATCTTCAATTGGGAATTGATATCTCTATAGAAGTTTGTAAAAGGAGATGAAAGAAAGTTCCACACCTTATTAGTTCTGCTTCCAGCTTCTCTATTATCCATTTTGCACCGAAGGGAATCGTAACTTATTTCACTGACCAAATCCTCAGCATCTAAGACAGCGTCTTTCAAGTCATCTAGCCAATTTTTGACTGCAAGATTGTTGATCTGCCTCTCTTCTGCATCATCCAACACAGCCTGGAGCGTGAGCAGGGTTGTTTGTAACTTTCTCAAGAGGGAGGCATCCATCTTGGTGATTTAGATGTAATCAAGAAACTCTGTTGAGGCAAGTTTCTCAACTAAGGTTTGAACAGTTGCAGAGAGAAAAGCATCTCCTATCATAGTTGCAGCTGCAGCCATTTTGTTTTGATGTTGTTAAAGGAAATCAGCAAGTAAGGAAGTTGAATTTTGAAAGAGATTAAGAGCTACAAGATTGAGAAATAGCAGTAAGGGAAAGTGATAGAGAGTAAATTGATTAGATATTTTATATTCTATAGCAGTAAATATTTTAGATTCTATAACAGTAAGGGAAAGTGATAGAGAGTAAATTGATTAGATATTTTAGATTCTATAAATTTCTTATTTGTATTGGTATCAAAGAAATCAATGAAAGTCTTTATATTTATTTTATCTCTCTCTTAGTTTATTTGCCTTTTTCCTAGGGTATATTTTATAGTTTTCTCTAATTTTGTTAGGATTCTTATTTAGCCTCCTAACTATTGGTGCTTTCATTCTTGAACATCAACACATCATACGGCATATCCATCACCTTCATTTCCATCTTTTGAAATTTTTACACCTTATTATACCAACATTGCATCTTCATCACCAAATTTGTATTTAAATCATGAATACTCACCACCTACGCCTAACCCATATCCACCATCCATAAACTCATACCCGCCATGTTACTATTCATTCTCAAACCCTCCATTTTCAGCCTTTACTCCACACACTCAACAACACCTAATTTCTACTCCGAATCAACAAACACTGTTTCCACCACCTAAACCCCAGATCTAAAACCAACATATGAATCAATAGAGTTTATGGATCCAATCTCAACAACTATTGAGGAGTACCCACAAAAATCATCAGAAATTATTCAACAATGTTTTTAGAAATTGTTTCAAGCAGAAGAAAAATACAACAATGAAAACAGAAAGAAATTAGGAAGTTCTCAAAAACTTTTTAATTCATTCAAAAAGACACCCAAAAAATTGAATGAAAAATATGTTGTGCAGAGAGCTACAGAAAAACCTCCAGGAAAAGAAAAAGAAATGACGAATAACATATATCCGGTAACGTTGTTGACTCCGACGACATTTCCAGCGTCTTCTTCGGCGAAATTTCCGGTATCTTCTCCAGCAACAGCTCTGACATCTTCTCCGGCTACATCGACGTCACTTCCGATGACAAATCCGGCATCATCTAGTTTGTCTTCTATCCTGGCGAAACAACTAGTTCCGAAAACACTATATTTGCAACCGGAATGAAAAAAATTATATTCTATTAGGACAAGGTTGATTTTGAAGAGGAATTTATATTAATCGATTAGATAATTTAGTGGGTAATGTTAACTTGTGCTCTTGGGTCACATGTTAAGAACTAAATTAAGAAACATTTTTTTGTAAATTATGTACAAATTTTAATTAAAGTATAAAATTAATTTTTAAATCGTTTTTTCCGATACGAATTTACTATAAGTAGCTTTCTTAACCTGTGTCCCAAGGGCACAAGTTAACATTACTCTATTTTAATTAATATTAATATTAGATGTTTGTTAGGTTTATTTTATTTGAATGGCTAAGATATATTTAAAGTAGTATTTAAAGTATTGTGTTCTCTATTTGTATTAGTGTCAAAAAAATTAATGAAAATTTTATATTTATTTTATCTCACTCTTAGTTGTCTTTTTTTATAGGGTAGATTTTATAATTTTCTCTAATTTTGTTAGATAAAAGAAGACTTACATGTGAATGAATATCATTAGTAATAATACTCTTTGTTGGAAAGCAAAGCTCACTAATGGTTTATGTGTTCACATCCGGATAGATTCAAAGAAAAGTTGTTATTTATAAAAAAGCAATTGGCATCTTTGAAGTTGGAATGATTATACTGCAATATAAATCTTTTAGTAGTATAATTCACGGTTCGTATACACATATTAAATAGTAGAACAAATAGAATAAAGATAATAGCCATTTTACTAAATTATATTATTAGTAGAATAAATACAAAGTTAAGTAATAGTTTGAGAGTAATGTATATCAATTTAGTATGTTGGTATAATTGAAAAAATAATACTTAATGCTTGCATATTAATTCTACTAAGTATCCTAATAGAAACTAACGGTTTCAGCAAGATAAACATGTGCAGCATTTTAATAGGCATAAAAGAAAAGGCTAAATGAAAGTAGTAACTAAATCTTATCAGAAATTGAATAAAAATGAAAACTTTCAAATAAAAACACAAAAAGAATAATGATATTTTTCATGTTCTCTGGTTGTAAACATACATTAGAGTGTCTCTTTGCATAATCTCATTGCAGGCATTTTTAACAAGTTGAGTGAAGTTAGAGAAAGTTTCAATAATACTTTGTTACATAAATCACACTGTATCTGTGGTTTCAATGGACAATTATTCACCAACTACCATAACTCAAGAAGAAATTGCAATGACTTAAGATACAAGTGTTTAAATGCTTCTAACAAGCTTTATCACAAACAGTGATATTTCACTTAAGATTGAAGAACAATGAAATAAATATTCAGCAAAGAGAATAATATGAGAGCTTGTAAGAATTTCTTTCAATATATCGTCAACTGAAGAAGATGAGGAAGACTTGCTTTTATATGCACAGTAGTCCACAAAGTCTTGACGTTGGAGGCTGTGTACTAAAAAGGTCTGAGTCTTTTTATCTTCACGTCACATGACCTTTCCTGGAAGTAGAATGTACAGAGAAATGCTTTTGGTCTGTGTTCTTGTGTCAAGCATGAAAGAGGAAAGAGTCGTTGAGCCAATTCAACGGACATAACTTTGAATCCTTCTTCAATTAGTATTTTACTTCAGCAAATAAACATCAGAGTCTGCGTGCCTAGAGTCTTGGATGTCCATCAGAGTTTGCTGAATCAGAGTAGTGCAGCAAGTGTGCTTCAGCGTGTAGTTCTAATAAAGCAGAGTTTCATGGATCAGATCCTCAGTACATGCAGCGTGTAGTACTCTCAGAGTCTTCTGAAAACTATGCTTCTTAACTCTCATACAAAAGATCTTCAATGCTTCAGAGTCTTCAGCTTCAGATTCTTCAGAGTCTTCAGCTTCAGATTCTTCTGTAGCTTCTGCTTCAGATTCTTCTATAGCTAGCACTCAAAATCTTCTGTAGGCAGCAATCAAATTCTTCTGTAAGATGATTCTGACTCTTCAGATCTTTCCAGAGTTCCATGTTCAGATTAATTTGCTTTCCAAAATATATATATTCTTTAACATCTGCAGCAAATGTTCATTAACAAATTTTAGAGTATATAATTCTTTGATACAAAATTTCATAAGAGTTATCATCAAAACATAGAGATATTACTAAGAAACAATATGTGTTCTTACAATCTCCCCCTTTTTGATGATGACAATACATGAAAAATTTTGTTCAATATAAAGAAATAAAATTATAACTCCCCATGAGATTAAGAATCTCCCCCTGAAATGAATACTCTAATGGAAAAGAACACTTCCCTTTTTGTTTGAGTGTATTTCATAATCAGAGTCTGATGACTTCTTTCAGACACAGAGTCTGGTTTTACGTTTTAGAATCAGAGTCAGATTTGCTTCAAAGATCAGAGTCTAAAGGTCAGAGTCTGGTTGGGTAATTCTCAGGGTAACTTCAATGAAATTTTTGTCAGATGAAACAATGAAATCTGAAAGACTTAAATTCAAAGTTAGTTAATAATATGTCTGAACTTCGTTTTAGTATTTACTTATGGATTGAACAATCAGATTCTTTTTCTCCCCCTTTTTGTCATAATCAAAAAGATATGTAAAGACAGAAAAGATAACAGAAGAAAAGAAAATAAAACACATAGAAGCAAAACAGACATTATCATTCATTCAGAAGGTTCATACAACAGATGATAAAAAACAATCAAAACAAAAACATATGCAAACAATAGTGCAAAAACACATGAAATAAACTAAGACTGGCAAGAGGCTATCAAGGTCAGAAGATCTGTGATCTTGGCAGTAGACTCTTCTTGCTTGGTCATCCAAGTCTTAATCTCTTCAGTGGTCTGTTCTTGTTTGATCATCCAGGACTTGATCTCTTTGACCTCTTTAACAAGTTCTGAATTGTAAGGCTTCACTTCAGATTCATACGCATCAATGTCCATTTCAGATACAACATCTTCAGATGGAGAGTCTTCAGCAGGAGCAGCTTCCAGAAGCAGCACTGGAGGTTTAGGAATGCTCAGCAGAGTCTGTCTGATCAAATCAGCAAACTTTGCCTTAGCATCTTCAGCACAGGCTGCTTTCAGATGAGAGGCAACAATGTTGAACTTGGAGATAAACTTATCCCAAGCAGCTTCAGACTTACTAGGATCTATACTGAACAGACATTCTTCTTCCACACGTGATATCCCCATACGAACTTCCTTTTTGAAATTCTCAAACAGCTTATCAACATCTGATCTAGGGTTGGGGGTCAGGTATTCCTCTAGGGTAACTCTTTCAACAGATTCAGAGTTAGGCTGAGGTTGTTCAACAGTGGTATCGGGTGGTGTTGAATCAGATGGTTGTTGGACAGATGGTTGAGGTTCAGATGGTTGAGGTTCAGATAGTTGTGGTATGATGAGTTGAGGTGTGGGGGTTGTTGGAATATCAGCCTCAGATGATGATGGTTGAAATTCTGAGAGGTTAAATTTGGAGCGGAGTGCAATTCTACGATTAATTTGGTCAAGTTCTGATAGGTCAGAATAGGTTGGTTTGAATGGATCAGGAATAGGTTGGTTTGAGGGTGAGTTAGCTTCAGGTTCAGTGTCAGATGAATCAAAAGAGTGACAGGAAGTGGAAGACAGATCAATCATGGTTGCAAGAGGTTGCAGATCCAGAATGTTGTTAGATGGTTCAGGAATTGATGGTTCTTCAAATGGTGTTAGTTGGGGAGGTTCAGATGAAATAGGTTGTTGTTGTTCTGTTTGTTGTTGTTGTTTTGGTTGTTGTTGTTGTTGTTCTGGTTGTGGTTGTTGTTGTGGTTGTTGTT